ACAACAAGCTTACAGCCACGGGTGCCAGGGGCGCCCCTCAATACCCCGAAATGTACACCTTCAGGGGACAGCCCTGCTCGGGCACCTGGTACGACAGATCTGTCTTAAATATAGTCAACTGTCCCCCCACAGACAGCATGTCTGCCTCTGGTCACTCGGGGAGACACGACAATGAGAGTAGCAGAACAACAGGCTGTCAGCCAGCATTAGGGCTGTAGCAGAACAGTCTTTGTTCCTCAGTACCCAGCACTGGGGACGCTGACCTCTTCGTTAACCTGCCCCCGACGGGGAATTATCTTGCCCTGTTTAACACACTCACTTCTAACCCAGCGAACAGCAGCCGAGGCTGTCAGGGCTCCTGCTCTGGCTTGAGGAACCCGTGGCTCACCAGAATAATTACCCCGCCAACCCGACCACTTGACATCCCGAGCCCCAGGAACCCCCGGTTCACATTTTTAAAAAGAAGAGGCAGGAAACGAATGAATAAATAAATAAATAAACCCTGCCACTCCAATCAAAAGGTCCCGTGGAGCAAGCACTGGCTTATTTTAACAACACCAATTAACACCTTGTTGGTACAACTATCGCAAACTCCCCCCTGCGTCAGCTGTGAAGGAATTAACACCGTCTGCCGCTCAGCACTCCTGAAGCACGCAGGGCCGGTCTGGCTCCAGAACTGCGCCTCAGCCTTTTCTTAAGGGGAAAGCAGATATGTGAACGCACTGACAAAGGAAGTTTGTCTTTTTCTACGGCTGCATCGATGCCTCTTCCCTTACTCGCACGCGTGGATCTCGGAGAACAGGGACTGACATTCGCTCAGGAGGAGAAATATTCCGAGCATCCACCTGAGGATCAGCTTTTGCAGCTCGACATTGTCATCTGTGGTCTTTGTTTTGCAATCGACTCCAGCAGACTTTCAGGGAACAACCAAGAGACCCCTGGATCACCACAATATCAGCATAAAAACCAAAGCAATAAATTTGCATGGAACATTCATTTTCTGAAATCTAGCGTCTACACTGCTTCCGGCACACATTCAACCACTTCATCGTCAGGAGGGGTCAAACTCTAATGCACACACAGGCAGTGCTGCTCTCTGTCCACCAGAGGGCGATCTAAGCTCTTTGCTTTACAGGCTGGAGTGATTCTGGAAGTTCAGGTTTTAGATTAGTGTTTTTTTATGGGGAAAAACATGAACACACACAAAGGCCAGACCTAAGCATGTACAGCGCAGAACCACTGTGCTCAGTCATTTTTAACCCAGGTTCAATCTGTCCAACGTGAGGGAGAAAGAAAAAGATGCAAGAGTTAATTAGTCGCACGTTAAGCGGCTCACAAGGTTCCTCCCAGGTTTCCTGGAAGTGTGCCATTGTGCCAGTTGGCTGAACGCTGGACTTAAAATGGAGAGCTTTTCCAGTCTGACCAGCTTGTCCGTTTCCAAGTTGGACAAGTCTTGAGCCACGTGCCTACAGTCACAACGAGCCCTAACAAATCGGGGTCACCCGGAACCAGGCCCTCCCCTATAGGGTTTCCAAAGTTTTCCTCTGGGGCGGGGACAGGAGACAGGAGCGACACAGGTCTTGAGCATTATGCTCCAGCCCAGCCCCACAGGCTGCAGAGACCGCGCTACACAGCACCCGAGAAAGAGAGAGAAACCAACTGGGCTCGGCGCAGAGCAGTGCAAGATCACCCGTACAGCAGAGCGCTAGACATAAATCCACAGAACACCACGCTATCATCACAGGGAGCCCCAACACCGTCGCAGCCCCTTGCGGTGCTTATTTAACTGCTGGTCAGATTCAAAGAGAACACCATCAGCAGAACAGCTGAGACTTAAGAACGACAGGATCCTGAGATCAATAACTCCTAAATTCCAAACAGGACAGAGCCAGAGAATGGCTCCTCTCATTTGCAAGCTTTCTTGAGTTCTTACTCCAGGGATGGAGAACAAGGAAGCTCAGGAACTCACTCAGGGTGACTCGCCAGGGGGCCCTGCAGCAGAGGCAGGACTGACTACCCAGCCTGCAAGTCGGCGTGGATGAGGCGAGGAAGCACAGGAAGTGGAGGGGGGTGGGACACTAACCGGGGGGGTAGGACAGGAACTTGTAGGCCATGTGTGCCAGGGGCAGGATGGTGATCATGCAGTTGTCCCCGTTGGTCTCTATGAAGTCGTGCCTGGTGATGGCCGTGGGGTCGATGTGGTGCTCTCGGAACGGTCGGATGAAGGCCTGGAAAGAAAAAACAAATCGGACAAGTGAACACTTGCAGTCACCCGGCATGCTAGCTCTCCAGAAGCAGGGCTGGCCCTTCTCCCTCGCACACTACTGTTTTTGATGCAGAGGTACTCAAAGAGCAAGAGACAAGATTTGTTCCAAAACACTGATCTCTGGGACAGCCAGGTCATTAAATGAGCAATTAAATTAAGTAGTAATAAAGCAGTGCTGAGATCCAAGTGTTTGTCCGACACTGTTCTACAGTATAGAGCTCCAGTGCTGCAGCCAGTTAACGTACAGAGAGACCTGGAGCACACATCAAACATTAAGATACTGATCTTCTCTTCCTTCCCTCAGATTAAAGTATGTGAAGTTACTGATGGAACACAAAAGCATGGGCATGCTGTTTGTGTGGACACACCACTGCTGCACGGCCAGGCTGATACTATCGTTAATCCCCAATCATTTAACCACCTGCCATTCCTGCCTTCCAATAATAACTGGGAACAATATCCATCGGCATGAGGAGGCTGCTCTAGAGCTGCAAGAGAAATAGATTTTGCCAAGACCAACGAAAGATTAATTTTTTTTTTTTACAATCATCCTGCGGTAATATTACTGCATGACCTACACTGCATCTCCATCCATTAAGTGCCGTCTTTAATCTTTAACATCACACAGTTAGCCTAAAATACTCATTTAGATTTCTGCAAATTCGATTCTTTGAAGTCCGCCGCTCCCAGGTGGCAAATCCTAATTATACTAAACAACCCAAAAAAAAAAAAACGTCCGCCATCGGGCTCAGAAGCATAACCCTGCGCTGTGCGATTTCACTCTGAAGCGCTTACAGGCCCCCACTGCCACTAATGACATACAGGTTCCACAGGACCCTCTGCAACATGCATCTTCCTACACAACACTGTCCTCGGAGCTGGGCATCTCACTAGGGCCAGCCTGGGAGCTCGTATTCCTCCTTTCATTATGATTAAACACATAATGAGAATGGCGACTTCAACGCCAGACGTGTCCTTTTTCATTTTTACTCACATGAGCACATCCCCCCTGTATACTTTATCCTTCTCTCCCTGTTCAGCCTCAACCCAAGAGACAGCCAGTCTCCTGATCTGCCCCCCAAACAACAAAGGTTCTTGTGTAACACAAAAAACTGCAGCTAGCCTGCAGAGCAGTGGGGGTTTCTCTGCATTCTGCTGAGCCGTGCTGCTCCAGGAGTCGGGTGCTCTTTCACCCTTTGACATGCTGGTGAGGTGGGGAGGGAGCCAGGAGCTTGTGTTGAGAAGGGGGGGGGTGACATTTTACCAATACTACAGAGATGGGGGGTGAAGACTACTGAGCATGAATCTCCGCAAGCTTAGTTAGCCATCAGCCAAATGAAGCCCCTTACAGACATTCATTAACATTATTAATGGCGCCGTCACTGCTCATAACCTTCAAGAATCCTTTTTTGGAATGGGTCTGCTGGGGGAGGGGGGAGTAACGAAAGGATCTCTGCATTCAGGTACGAGCTTCTGACTGAGCTCTGTCCCCACTTTATCTCACCTGGCAGACAATCAGCAGTGACCTGTCGAGCCACGCCCAGGGCCCAGGAGCCCCATCCCTGCAGAACTGCCACGCCCAGGGTCCGGGAGCCCCGCCCCTGCAGAACTGCCACACCCAGGGCCCAGGAGCCCCACCCCTGCAGAACCGCCACGCCCAGGGTCCGGGAGCCCCATCCCTGCAGAACTGCCACGCCCAGGGCCCAGGAGCCCCACCCCCTCAGAACCGCCACGCCAAGGGCCCAGGAGCCCCGCCCCTGCAGAACCGCCACACCCAGGGCCCAGGGGCCCCGCCCCCTCAGAACTGCCACGCCCAGGGCCCAGGAGCCCCGCCCCTGCAGAACTGCCACACCCAGGGCCCAGGAGCCCCGCCCCTGCAGAACTGCCACACCCAGGGCCCAGGAGCCCCGCCCCTGCAGAACCGCCACACCCAGGGGGCAGGTGCTCTGTGTCTCAACAGTGTGTCCACCCAGCTTTTTGGAGCCAATGGCTAGGTTTCTGATTTAGACATTAAAAACAATTCTCTGTCTTCCTTCACTGAAGATTTTACCTAAATGATTTTTCAGAATAATTCCATTTTTATTCAGATTTCAGTCATTTCCGTCACTTTCATGGAAGAGAAACAGTGTGGGAATTTGGCTCTTGATGAGGTCTGAAAAGCATCACCATGTTCTTGTCCCCCATTTCCCCCCCCCCATGACGGGCGGAGTTTATGCCTCTTGCCGCTCTCCCGCTCCTCTATCTCTGTCTGACCACCCCCCCGGCCCCCCCTCAGCTCACCTTGCCGATGACCAGAATGTCGACAGAGCCCCAGGTATCCGCTCCCCAGTGCACCAGGCCGGAGGCGAAGTCCGCAGTCACAATCCCTGCAACTGCAACAGCAACACATCTGTAGACAAGTGGGGAGCTGCTGGACTGCAGCCCCTCCCACCTGGCGTGTCAGCTCACAGGCCCCTCCCACCTGGCGTGTCAGCTCACAGGCCCCTCCCACCTGGCGTGTCAGCTCACAGGCCCCTCCCACCTCACGTGTTCTCTGCCAGTCTGTACATGGTTCAAGGACAAGGCCAGAGGAATGGAGCGTGTGTGTGTGTGTGTGTGTGTGTGTGTGTGTGTGTGTGTGTGTGTGTGTGTGTGTGTGTGTGTGTGGCGGATATGAAGATGGCAGCACAGAAAGGTCCAGCTCATCAGTAAGGACTGACAGCATCTCAGCTGTGTGCACCTCTGCGGCCACTCTGCATGTCTGTTACATTTCTTTAAATCATAACCCGCTTAATAAGATCTTGAAAAATAAAATCTGATGGTGTCTTCATAAATGTCAAACTGGGGAAGTCAGAACACCAGCTCCAGCAGGAGAGGTCTGTGGGTCTTCAGCCTGCCAGACACATTTAATGATGTCGGCGTGCTGGGGCAGACGGATGTACTGTGCTGTACTACCCTGTCCCGATCGTGCATTGCACAACAAGGCTGTCTTTTGACAGGTACATTGGGTGTGATCAAAAATCCTTCACCCTTTCTGTAAATTACAGCCTGAGAATGTTGTGTCTAACAGTATACCAGGCTCGCAAACACATTAGCAGGTTTAAAGCTAACAACTAATTTTGGAGAAAAAGAACTTAAAGAGCTGTTCAACTTCAATGTTAGTGACCTTCTTCTGGGAAATTTTCAGATCATATTGCTGGCTGTGGCTCTTTTAAAGCTCCATTAAAGAGCTTTTAAATAAGACATACGAAAACTCTGAAGACTAACCTGGCAGAGCTTTGGAGCAAGTGCATCACATACGATAAAACCACCAGACTGATCTGGTATTATTTATTGACTTTTATTAGATGTAGACAAAGTCCTCATTGAGGCTCTACGGTACATATTTTGTATATATGAAAGAAGTTAATTCTGACTAAATGCAGACAAACATCCAATATACCGGCCATAAAGCAATCTCAAGTAAAAGTACCACTCAGTACTGGCGCAAATTAAAGAGTGCCGATTCAATTCATAACGTTCTCCCTGTCACCATTTCTAATCCTCCAGTTGCACTCCCCCACATGGTTGGCTGTACAGCAGAACCTGATTTAATTATCAAACAATTTGCTATCAGGGCATGGAGTTGCTAACCAGAGCTTTTGTAAACTCCCTGCCAGCACACCTTTCTGCCTTTCAAATCTACCTCAGCCAGGCACAACCCGAGAGATAAGCAGCTGGGAACATACTACCGGGCTGCGTGTTGCACTTACATGTGTTGATGATGATCCGATACGTGTACACGGTGGAGAAGTTCAGCAGCAGGAACAGGAAGTTGATGATCACCAGACAGGCACAGAGGACCACGCTGATCCACTCCTGCAGCCTCTTGCCTGCACACAGAGACAGGGGCAACGCATGAGGTTCACAAATACAACAGCCACGGGCCCCGGCTGGCACAAACGCCCCCGAAACCGTCAAAACCGCCTCACCGCCGGCTGCTGAAAATCACAGCAGCATCGCCCTGGCGCAGATCTGAAATTGCAAAGGAAAAAAATACCCAAAACTACTGGACACTGTCTTATGAATTAAGACAAAACGCTGCAAAATCCTTTTCCAATCTAGTAGCAAAAAGGCGACGAAAACTCATCAGATCAGAAAAAGATTTTAGCGATGCTGTTACCGACAAACCCCCTGCTTCCCGCCTCCTTCCTTAGCATGCTGCCAGCAGAGGAATGCAGCACCGCCCGTTCCCAATGTCAGGTGAGCCCTTTAATAAGAAAGGACGTGTTGCACTGATCGGGCATTGTCGTATAATTAGATGCATCCATCACCTGTAATAAAGACCTGGGACTGGCCTGCGGAAAGACACACTGCTGATGCCTTGTGCACACGCATTTACAAACATTTATCTTCTGCTCTGTTTACATTAGAAAATATTAGCCTGGCATGTGTCATTTCGATGGACCCAGTTCGTAGCTGTTAATGAGGGTAAGACTGGGTAGTGGGGGGAAGGGGGACAGAGCTCGTCCTACTCGCTGGTCTTCCGTGCCTCCTGTTCAGTGCTGGTGACTGATGTGCTTCGCCTTGTCTGGGGAGAGGACCCCAGTCCCAGGAGACCCCCGCACAGCTGAGCCGCACAGTGCTCGGCTCCGTGAGTCAGCCCTGGCCTGGGGCCAGAAGACAGCCCGGCCTGCTAAACAGGCACGCTCGGAAAGCCTTCTCCAGGCTTCGGGATTAATGAGGGGAAAAGCCAGGGAAACGGACTGAAACGGGCCGTAAAAATTCTTCAACGACCGGAGAGCGCTGCCATGCCGAAGCCTCCGACTGCAGCAAGGCTGCCCGAGTCACAGAGCCCCTATCACACAGCACAGCAGCTCCTCCACGGACAGAGACACAGCACCAGGGAGCAGGCGAACGCAGAGCGAGAGACATTTTCCTCTAGCAGGCTATGATTAAGTCAATTTGAAAAATATTTGCAGTGTGTTTGCATTTTACGCCCCGCGTTCTGCCTCTTGGGGGAACGGCAGGGGGAGCAGATGACAAATTGTAGAGCTTGGCTGAAGCATCTTTTCCCAAATCCCAGTCCTCCCATCGCCCTTTTAACTCCCTCGCTCCCAGAGCCACATGGAACCCCCCCCCCGCTGGGAGCCCCCGCACTGCTCCTCATCACAAGCTGATGCTGCACACTCAGGAGCACAGGCTGCTTCTGTCCAAAGGGGAGCAGCACCAAAGCAAATAAGGTTAAACCAGAAATAAGCAAATAAGGTAAAACCCTGTTTTTTTATCTCATTCTGAACTCCGAATGGAAGTTTTTAACTGAAGCTCGAGTGCATGTGATCACCCGAGCTTAGACAGCACGCAGGGGCAACTGGCTTTAATAAATGACAGCTGCATTATTCAATAAGCACCCTTCCACCTGCCAGCCCGAAAACCCAAGCTGAGACACCTGCACCTCCTCAAAGGCAGCCTCAAGAGGGATGTGTGCCAGCTGATGAGAAGAGCTGATCGCGTTTCGTGAAGGAGGTGGTTCTTTAAAATTTCATGTAACCTAGCATTCCTCCTTGTGAAGATCGGAGGTGGCCGGCTCTCGTGGCGCCTTCTCTATTCATAGTGCCCGCCTCGACACCTGGGCTCACCTGCCCAGACCCAGACCACAGAGCCCTTTGCCCCGATACCCACACACAGTGTCGTCATCACTGCAACATCGTTAGTGCTGCTGTCAGACCACGAGCTAGACCTGTTTCTGGTGGCCTCGCACACAGCAAGAGACGGCTGGAGAGCGAGAAATGACACGGAGAGAGCCAAAATGGTGAATCTGCAGTGCACACAAGCAGATGCAAGAGCTCCCGTCTTATGGCTTGCTTTGCTCTAGTTGGTCCTCCAGCGCTGGGACAGGGGTGCTGAGAGGTGGGAGATCCAGCCAGAGCCAGGATCACCGAGGAGGGAGCAGGCTGGCCACGCCCGAGCTGATCGCGCTGCAGGTCGCCCCCAAACGCACAGGGATGAACTGGAAACCGAGAGGGGAGAGGGTCACCCCCCTGACCTGCAGCGGATCAAGCTGTATTTCCATATAAAAACGATGGGAAAATATGCAGTGATCTGATTCAATAAGCCTTAGACAGACAGTAAGGGAAATAGCTGGCCAGAAATAAAAACATCTAGGCTTTTAAGAAACCACCAAAAGAGACCCATTTACTGAATTGAATCCAGTATGACGTCCCAGATGCACAGTTGTTTTATTAACTGGATAATTTCTGCATTCATTTCCATACCTTGCTGCTTCTGTATCCACATGGTTGTGCAGCTATCCAGTGAATAGCTGTCTGCATTCTCCTAAAATAAAGTTAATCCTAAAATGACCAAAGCTACATTTTTTCTCAAATAGATATAATGAGGAATATTTGCAGGTATTGCCAAACGCAGTGGTTTTGTAGTCTTCGGAGAGATGGGAGGAGAGAGAGAGAAGAGGCACTGTCAGGTGTCAGGTGATCAGCGCCTGTCGTCAGGTGGTCCGCGCTAGTCTTTGAATGCACTCTCCCTGCGAGAATTCAAACTAGGCCAGCCCTCTGAGGGGGCTACAGTGGCGGAGCCGCAGAGCCTGCACAGAAACACCCCTGGTCCAGGGGACAGGAGCAGACGCGCTGATTAATACACTCCTGACAACACAAACCACCGAAGAGAACACCGGCATTCTCCGAGCGAAGAGCAGGCGTCAACCCCCCCAGTTCCAACCCTCCATCGCAGGGAATTAATAGGGATGGCATTAATCAGTGATGGACAAAACTTAGTAACATTCACAACTGCCAAGCGCTAAAAAAAAAGAAAAAAAAAAAAAGAGAGAGACCTTTTTGCATGCTCATTTTTCAAAATTAATTTGTTTACACTGCAAGCATGAAGTCTTCTCTTGTGTTAAATTTGCAACAGAAGAACAAACGGGAGTGAGAGGAGTCGAAAAGCCCTCTCTGTCGATAACCAATCCTTGCAAAGTTGTCCTTCAGTCTCTCCTGTTTTAAAGCACAAATATAGAACTTAAAACACAGCAGCCAAAAACGTTCAATCCCGAGAGTCGTCACGGAGAATTTGTCGCCCGTGTTCTTCAGTTTGTAGTGCACTAAGCATTTTTAAGAAAACTGGTTGTGATGAAGTGTAACAAACAGGGTATTTAGGTACAGGCAACAGAAGTCACCAATGGTGCCTTAACTGCTGTAATTACAATTTGTCATTGTTTCAGAGGAAAGTCCTTGACAGTGGTCTCTTTTCCTCTCCCATTTAAAAGGTTCAAAACAACGACAACGTCTTCCCATGAGGTGCAGTACTACAGAGCCGAGTTCAACTGGAGCTAAAACACTATTCAACAAAAACATGAAATTTAAGGAGGCACCAGAAATGACTTCACTCAATTATTTACACCAAGGCTCTGTTACAGCATCACCGCGTGTAAAAACAAGCTCTCTTCCAGAATCGTGCAGCCTGCTGAAGAGTCTTCTGGGCCTGGCACGCAGGGAGGGCGACTGCACTGAGAGGGGCACAGGGGGACGGGACTGGAGAGGAGAGGACAGGAGGGGACGGGAGGGGACTGGACAGGACTGGAGAGGAGAGGATGTAACTGGACTAGAAAGGAGAGGACAGTAGAGGAGGGGACAGGAGACGAGGGAACAGGAGAGCAGAGGATGGAATTGGACTAGAGAGGAGAGGACAGTAGGGGAGGGGACAGGATAGGAGGGGACAGAACAGGACTGGAGATGAGTGGACAGAAC